TCATATACTAAGTGTTGGTAATAATTGCTAGTTGAAAAAACAAATCGCTAAGTTTTATTCTTGTTAGTCAATAAAGAACACCACAGTTTCATATCTTACAGGAGCCACATTATATATATATAATGTTACTGATTTATAAAGATATATATATTTTTTATTCAGGCACAGGTGTTTGGCAGAGCACTTGAGTGCTGCTTGGGACAGTCGCGTCTCCTGTTGGAGTGCCTGGGTTTGAGTCTCAGCCCTGCTCTAATTCCAGCTTCCTGCTACTGTAGACGCTGGAGTGCAGTGGGTGATGGCGCAGTGCCCCATGGGAACCTTCACTGAGTTCTGATCTTCCACTTCGGCCTGACTCAGTCCTGGCTGTTGTGGGCATTTGGGGAGTCTGTCTCTTTCAAATCAATTTTAAAAATTAGAATTTTTCAAAATTTCAAACAATATAAAAGGAAAAGGTTCTTGCCATATTTCAATTTCCAGAGGTATTTACAGTTAACAATAATTAATTACATGTTTAATTTTCCCTGGAATGCTGTGTTCTATGATTTAGACAAACTGAGTTGTATTTCCATACATTTTAGGGAATTAGGTTTTCTCCTTAATGAACCACTTAGAAATCTTTGTGACTTGTAATAGTACCAAGTTTCCAGGGTAAGGTTTGATGCGAGAGGTTCTTCAAAGTTGCATTTGCTTGTTTCTCTGTTGTGTATATGTCTCAAGCGAAGCTGAGACCACATCTGTCCACAGGAACCACATCTCCAGCTTCTGCTGCTTCAACCACAGGGAACAGCAGCTGGCATGGTGGCACAGCAGGCTAAGCTACAACCTGGGCCTCCTGGCTGCTCCAATTCCACTCCAGCTCCCTGCCAGTGTGCCTGGGAAAACAGAGGAGGATGTAGAACTCCCAGATAGAATCCTGGCTCAGCCCCTCCTCCTCTGTCTCTGTAACTCTGTATTTAAAATAAAACTTTTTTTTTTAAGGAAGCATAAAAAGCAGTGAATTTAGGATTAAAAACAACTGTGTTGAAACTGAAATCAAGCTGTTGGAGTCTTGAAGGCAGAAGGTGTCAAAAACATGGTATGCATTAGATATATGTTTACATATTTCATTTTATCTGACTTGGAGTGTTCTCTTCCCAGAGCTCCAGATGCTGAGCTGAGGGATCCGGGAAGCAGCCATTGCAGGAATGTATGCAACTCCATTGTAGTCCCTTGTATGCAGGGGCCGTCTTTACCAGCACTTCACCGATCGACACTTTATTTCTGTTTTGTTTTGTTTTTGTCTTTTTGTTAAGAACAATGTCACAAGAAGCTCCCTTGTACAGGCAGCTTTGATTATTGCTACAAGGAAAACCATAGGACAAATTCCTAGAATGATAACTGTTGAGTTAGTTTCCTTTGTTGCAATTCTAATACACAGTTTTTGATTTACTCCCAGTCTCATTGACTGTCTGTCTCACACCAGTCCTGGAGATCATAACTCCACAATCTAACAAGTAGAGTATTATTTTTAAAACAACACAACAGTGCACACACGTGGGGCAGCTGCACCTCCTCAGTAGTATCACCCACAGAGACCAAAGCACATAGTCCCAAGGAGAGGTGTGCTGTTTTGGTTTCCCACCGGGACAGAGGGTCACAGGCGCTGAGACCTGCTGCTTATTCCAGGCACTTTTGGCAGCTTCTGGAAGAGGCTGTCTGGAAGAAGGGGATCTTAACTGGAAGGAGGTCTGAGGCTTCTCCTAGACCCAGTACCTGGAATGCAGCAGGCACCTGTGAGCAACCCGTAGTGCCAGCCTCCCCAACAGGTTTGATCTTCGGGGACTCTGGACCTGGGCTCCATCCCTTGCTTCTCTCTACCACCTCCTTCCAGATTGTTTAATTTCTTTGAATTTTCATATTAGGTGTCAGTTTAGAGACCCCCTATTAATGTGTTGGCTTGGGAGGCCAGGTTGAATGACAATGCAGGTGGGCATTTTATATTCCCAGGGAGACACGGATAACATCCACATCTGCTACTGAGGCAGCATAGGAAGGGTGACAGGGATGCTTGGGGACAGAATGACTCACCTGTAATCCTGCTTCTGACCCTTGGAAGCAAGGTAACTTTTAGCAATTTTTTAAGTATTTTCCCAAGCCTCACTTTCCTCAGTTTTAAGACAGGTAGCAGTAGCTACCTCACAGCATCACTGTGAGTACAGACTAACCTACGCAGGTACTTAGCAGCTGGTATTCATTGACACCAGCCTCATCACCTGATCCTGGTTTGCTTGCAGGTCATGGAGGGACAAGGTGCTTTTGCAGAGTGGACCGGGGTGCTAATCCACTCCACTTCCCAGTCACACTCTGTTGAGTCCAGTGACATACAGACTGATTTGCTTCAGTTACTGTAAAGCACACCCTTGGTGTGGGGGAGAGGGGTGAGGGGAGAACAGAACACAGCAGAGCCCCAGCCCCAGCTGGGGACTCAATGCTTTTTCATGGCTCCTGGAGAAAGAAGTGAGATTGGCAATTCTCAACACGCTGAGTACTGGACTTAGACCATGTTAAGGGAAACTCTGCCTCATCCTGAAAACGCCTTGTGAGGGCTTGAGTCAGGACATGCAAAACTACCCTTGTTCCCTCAACCCTGTTGCAACTCAAATTTCAGGAACGATCTAAATTTGCACAGAAGTTGCCAATCAGAAGCTATAAGCATGGCAATGGGATTTTTCGAAAACATCTTGAGCTTCATCCACTTTTCGCTTTTGCATTTTGAAAATTCCGAACTTATAGAAAGGATGCAAGGAAAGTTCAATGAATGTGTGCATTTACTTATTGTTGCTTATACTGCTGTATGTTGGCACATCACTTTGGGATGCAGACAGCTGCGTTCATAATGTGATGCAGCATCCCCCCCGCTTTGGCCAGTAAAAGCATTAGAGGCAGACTTAATCACATCTGATTGAGATTTCCTGACATTCAGCTTCCTGGTGGTTACAATTTGTTTTGTATGTTTTGTTTTGTTTTGTTGGAGTGGAATACTAAGAATTTTTGTAGTAACTGCCAGATTGAATAGATACTGAGCCAAACACACAGATACAATATTCCTAATTCCCACAGTGACTCCGAGCAGGATCACTTCCCTCCTAATTTGCACCGCATTTGGTAACTGACACCCAGAGCGGCTGGCTCACTTCACCGATAAGTTGCAGATCTGGTCTCAAAAACAGATTAAAAAAAAACCAAACAAACCTTAAAACAAACCCTACAGGGCCCTTCTTTTGAGATTTTAAAACATTCTCAGAGGTGCTGGAAAGGATTTTGATGCAAAGGTAAGGAAAACTTTGTGTCTTATTGTGCTGTAAATTTCTGGAAGAGCACGATATTCATTTCGGGTCATTCCATTACACTAAGGTAGTTTGGTGTGGGGAGAAGACGGGGTTCCATGGAAACCCCAGCCAGGAGTTTCGCCAGAGAAAGCAGCGGTGAGGGGACGAAGCAGCGTGATTCTTGTTCCTGGCGCCTTCTCCCCCGTGCTGAAACAAGGGCGACAGCTAACACCGTCCATTCGATTCCCCCTCCCCCCGAGGGACGGTGAGATCCAATTTTGTAAACTCCGGCTATCTGATCTTTTGACTACAAGCAACGAAACGACTTTATCCGCCGCTGGAGACACCGGAGGAGCAAGAGGAGGAGGCTGGGGAGCCCAAGAGGAACGGCAGAAATCAAGGCAGGCGCAGGTGCCCCGTGGAGCTAGGCAGAAGAAAGCACTGCAGGAGATTGAATTGGCTGCCAGGTGTCGGAGGATGTAGTTCCAGAATCATCTTCGGCGTGGCTGCGGAGAGGGGCGCAGGCCGGCTGGAGACCACCAGCAAGCCTCTAGGCCGTGGGCAGCCTGAAGTGCGATCCGACTCTCAGGAACCGAGGCACGAGTTCCTCCGCTCTTCCGGGCCGTGAGTGTTTGCAGCCCGACGGCGGGACTCTGGTAGCCCCTTTGACGGTTCTGGGAGCCTGGGCTCCTCCCGGTTCCTCCTCGTCTCCCAGCCGTGCGCCATCACCTGGAGCTGTGCCTGGCCGCGCGACAGCTCAGCCTCTGACAGGTGGCCCGGCGCACACCCGAGCTTCGAGGCGGTGGCGGCGGCCGCACGGTGTGGGAGAACTTTCTCCCTCACATGCTCACTGAAATTTGGTCGATAAATAAACGATGTAAAACGCACGCTTGGGTTTTGTCTTGGCGCTCGAACGGGTCTTAACGGGCTCCTTCAATCGAGGAACGAAAGGAAGGAGGAAACCCATGACGGCCCTACTAGCTGTTTCTGGGGGCCCCTGAAATCAGCATCTGGATTGACCCCTAGGCTTACGAACCTCCCCCACCAGGGGCTGAGCCCGAGCGTCCGCCCCGCGGGGTCGTGAGGGGCAAGAGCCAGACTCCCCGTCCCCGGGCGGAGGACGCCGAGCCCTGAGCACTCGGCGAGACCCCCGTGGGGGCGCTCCGGGCACCCGCTCGGCAGGGGCCACGCGAGGGTGCGCTCGCCGAGCCCGGGGCCAGCCCGAAGGCCTCGCGGCTCCCGGGAGCGACGAGCGCGCGGCGGCGGGCCACGGGCTGGCGTGCGTCTCGCCTCCTCACGCGGTGCGTCCCCGCGCTGAGGCGCGCCCGGCTCGCGACCCGGCGGGCGCCCGGAGCCGGCGGGCAGAGCTCCGCGGACGGCCTGGGCGTCCGACAGCCCCCCGGCCGCCGAGCGGCTCCCGCCGGGGGGGAGACGCCCCCCAGGGCCCTGGGCCCCCCGCCCCCGCTCGGTCAGGCCGCGAGAGGCCGAGCGCGCGGCGCGACGACGACGACGAGGAGGAGGCGGCGCCGCCGGGACTGCCTCCTCCCTCTCCGCCCCTCGCGTCTCCTCCCCGCGCCACCGGGAAGGACAACGGGACTGGGCACGGGGACCCCGGCCAGTGAGCGCCCGTGTGCCGGGACCGCCCCTCCCGCGCGCTCTCTCGCCGCGAGCCCCGGCCGCTCTCGCCCCCGCATGGTGCTGGCAGCAGCCATGAGTCAGGATGCCGACCCCAGCGGTCCGGAGCCCGCGGACCGAGATGCCGGCTCTGTGCCCGGCGCCCCGGCGCCCCCAGTGCCCCCGGGCCCGCGAGGGATGCAGCCACCGCCGCCGCCGCCGCCGCCCCAAGCCGGTCTTCCTCAGATCATCCAAAAGTAAGAGGAGGGAGACGGGGACCAGGAGCCGGAGGTGCGCTTGTCAGGACCCTGCGCGGGGCTCTCTCGGGCTCCGGGAGTTTAAAGTTCTCCTGCCGGTCCCTGGGCAGTGTCGGTGTCACTCCGGCTGAGAGACTGGGGTGAAGTTATTTGGGGGAAATGATCTGGTGGGTTTCTTTTTTCCGCCTCAACTTCTTTCCTCTTCAGGGATGTTACTAAAATAGTTCAAACTGGGGAAATGGTCCAGAGACTGTTTTCATCCTTGTGGTCCTCCGGCCTCTGGAATGTGTGGCGAGTGGTGCGTGAGTGCGTGTGTGAGCGTTATGCGGAGCAGGGACAAGCGCCCTGCGCGCACACGTGAAAACACCTTAGGGGTGGCCCTGGAGTCACCCCTGCGGATGGGGGTGACAAGGTCCGCAGGCAGCCTGCCTTGCCCGGAAAGTGTAGGCATGTGGTGAGGAGGGCCCCTTGATGCTCTCAGCTGCGCCACGGGTTTCCCCATTAGTGTTACCATGTTGTGGCTCGCGCTCAACTGCGCGACTTGGGTCGGGTGTTCCATGGGCTTTCCAACGCTGGCGCTGCGTGGGTCTCGGTCGGGGGTCCCGAGATAAACTTGCAGCCAATTAGGCGCACGGACAAGAGGGCATGTTATGCCTGGGCCGTTCCTTCTGGTTTTGGACAGGGTAAGGCCTAGAACGTAGGTAGGTTTCGTATTTGAAGGATCTTAATTCCCCTCGGGGGTCTTATCCAGTGTGACAAGAAGTTCTTGGAACTGCGGTAAGGAGTGTAGGAAAGTGGTCTGAAAGCGCTTGGGGACAATGGCCCAGGCTCCATGAACTCCGCGCGGGTCACATCTCACCGTGGTGGCGCACGCAAGTCGTGCTGATGCTTCGAGTTATGTAAACATTAAAATGCAGTCCGAGAAATGCCGAGGGACAGGCTGGGGGGCGGCAGGTAGCATTCAGGACTGACAGTTTTGAAGACAGAAGAGCCACATTTGACATCAAGTAGCGCTGGTTTCGTATTTCAGATCAAAATGGTGTCCTATTTTTGACTGAGGGCATATTAACGCCCATGTATGGCAGTTTTTTGCTATTCGGTTTGATGTTTTCTGTAGTTTTCCATTCCTCACAGTTCCTCCACTATCTGAAAATCAAAATATATGATTTTTCTATTGTTTTTACTAAAATTATGTCAGCCAGTTTTTACCATATCTAACGGGTTATATAATTAAAATTTCTGTTTGGTCCTTCGTGTGAATATAAGCCAACAGAAAGAAAAATATTTCAAGTCTAAAGTTTACTTACTAAAAAAAAAGACAATTTCCAATTTGCTCAATTGTTTATTTATAAGCGTCTACTGCACTTCTCATTGAGCCACGGTTTTGGGGCTTGAAATTAGGCTTGTGGAATTGTTAACATGTTTGTCACGACTTTGCATTTTTCTATTCATTTACTTTTAAGGTAGGAGAAAATTGAGAACTTTATGTTCCCGGGAAATGGATGATGGCTATCCGTGTAAGGAATATTTAGAGTTGAAATGAGTGTCACTTTGTGGAATGGATTGTCTGGAACGTGTTTTAATGCCACGGGTCATTAATAACTTGCCTGATAAATTCGCATCTATCCCCATTTAGGAAATTCTATGTCTGGAGTATGTTATCTTACAAGATAAGAAGGAGCTTTTTCAAAGATGGACCCTTCTGCTTGCCTTCCTGTGGGCCAGGTCTCAAGGAGTGCCTGGTGGCCCTGCGCCGGTTCGCGCCGGTTTGCGCCAGATCGCGCCGGTTGCGTGTTGGGGTGTGGGTCGCAGATGGGTGGATATGCCGCTAGGAGCTGAAGTTGGTGCACCTCGGTTTCAGAGGCCTTTTGTATAGCATGATGTTGGCTGTGCCCCGGCAGCACCTGCTGAAATTCCGCTGGAACTGGACATAATGCGGCAAACGCCTCTCAGGTCCATCTCTAATGCGCTGAAACCCGAGCAGGTTATTTTGAAGTGAGGTTTGCATAATTTAATCTGACAACCATTTCTACACAGTGGCGAGGTGCTGTCTACATCAGCCATCTTTGAAAAAAGGTGGTGGGACATGGCGCTGGGCCACGGGAGCAGGGTCCGTCGACCTTTTGATTGGGATGTTTTTGTGCCTTTTGATTGGGGTGTTTTCATGGGCTAGAGTTCCTGGTGAAATTATTTTCAAATGCATTGTAAATACTAATTTCTCTGATCGTTTTAGTGAGGTCATTATGTTATGCCCAAGAGAAATTGTGGCCACTTTCAAAATGATGGGCAGGTGGTGTTTAAGGGTTGTAATCCCCCCTCCCCTTTCTTAATATCTGTGCTTACTGACTTTTATTTGTAATGGCTTTGATTTGGGGCGAAGTCATCGATTTTGGCAAAACCACAGTAATAGAATAAAAACCATTTCCTGTTCAGTTATGTGCTTTTGGGTTAACACACAAGGGGAGACAACAAGTAATGAGGCTGACTGTTGTTTGCTTTGCAAAAGTATCGATAGTTATGAAGGTTGTATTTTAAGTTGATTTTCATGGGGCACTTTTGTTCCAATCAGAATTATTTAGTATCCTATCTTAGCCTTGTTAGCTTCAGTTGAAAATCATCCGTACCTTCTCTTCTGTCCACCCCAACCCTGCCAATATTAACGTTGTCAGTAAAGATTATCAGCCATGTTATAGAGCCATATCACTAATATTGAATGAGATTTTGCTTTAGATGTTCATTCTCTGGCCAAGGTGGAGGTATTGTTTTAGATGATATGGGACATTATTTACATTGCTTGGGCAGCAAAAAATACAAACCTGAATATGATATTTCTGTGTGTTTAGGAATTCAGAAGAAATCAAGACATATATGTGTGTATGTGTGTATACCAACATACTAGAAGACAGAAAACTTGGGGCATCTTGGTGCATTGTTTTTAAAGATTTTTATTTATTTTTATGGTAAAGTCAGATATACAGAGAGGAGGAGAGACGGAGAGAAACATCTTCTGCCTGTTGATTGACTCCCCAAGCTACTGCAAGAGCTTGGAGCTAAGCCAAGCTGAAGCCAGGAGCCAGGAACTCCCGGGTCTCCCACATGGATGCAGGGTTCCAAGGCTTTGGGCCATCCTCGACTGCTTTCTCAGACCTCAAGCAGGGAAGTGGGGCCTCTAGGACATGAACTAATGCCCATATGGGATCCCGGGGCATGCGAGATGAGAACTTTTAGTCACTAGGCTACTCTGATGGGCCCTTGGTGAATGTTTAATGAGGATTTATAACCTCAAACATCCAGATTGATTTTATTTTAATAATATGCTTTATAATCAAATCTAATCCTCGATTTACATGAAGTTATTTAACTTTGATGAACTTCAGAAATGTAAAGTCTAACTGCAACTTAAAAGTTCTCATCAGGGTGAAATAGAGCCACTCAATTCTGTGTGAAATGTTGAATCCACTATGACATGGGACCATAAAGCATATCACTAATCGTGGTAGATGGATGTACTTTAATGAAGTGGGCACATGTGTCATTTTCCTAAATTATTTTGTTTTTAGCAAAATATTCCTGGCTAATGCATGACGTTGGATTTCATGTTTGAGTATAGGTGACATAAAAATTACAAATATAGAACAAGTTTTGATTTAGAATGTGATAGTGTCACCTGTGTGAAAGTGTTGGTGGCTTATGAACTCATTAACTCAGCTTTGATCTTTTAAAAAGTTTTATTTAATTTTCATTTATAAGTTAGAATTACAGAGAGGAGAAACAGATCTAGCTTTTGGTTCGCTCCCTAAATGACTGCGATTGTCAGAACTGAGCCAGGACCCAGGAGCTTTTCCAGCTCTCCCATGTGGGTGCAGGGGCACAAGGACTTCAGCTACCCTCTGCTGTTTTCCCAGGCCATAAGCAAGGGAGCTGGATGGGAAGAGAAGCAGCCACAACATGAACGGGCGCCCACAGGAAGGAGCTTAGCATAGTACCCCAGGGTGCTGGCTCACTGTCTTCTAGCAGTTTGAACCCTGGCTGCATTTTCAGTGTTAAGTGCTCTTCTGACTCAGAGTAGGAAATGTGACAAGTAGCAGCTCCAACTACAGAGGGTTTTACAGAATCCTGCATTTGGAAGGGTCTCCCCGTAGCTCTCAGTGAGTGAGAGCAGGCTCCCAGTGTGTGATGTCCGCCCTCTCTGATGGGCATACTGATACTTATATGCAAAACCGGAGGAAGGAAGCAAGGATTTCCTAAAAAGGGCGATTTCTCCACATTCTTATCTGGTCCTTGTTGAGGAGAGAATGGAATGTCTAACATCTGCATCAGATTCTAATATCAGTTTGAGCTTGTTTTTTTTTGGGGGGGGGAAGTAAGAATACAGTTGTGGAAGGAATTTTGGAAATATTTAACACCATCTCGAACTGTGCATGAGACAAGCACTGGACAAGGGGACACATCTGAGTGGATTAAGCATTTACCCAAATGGGAGGAGAGAAGGCCAAATCGTTTCTTAGATGTTTGAAAAGTTTTCTTTGCTACTCCAGAAAGCCTCTTCAAGGTATATTTTTAAAAGACATTTTGCTAGAGGGTTTGTTGTCATTAAGCATTTTTTAAGGAATACTGTATTCATCTGGCTAGCAGCTTTTCTCAAATTGCCAACGAGATCAGTGTTTATGAAATGTGGAACTTGACTGCCATTCGTCACAGTGAATGGCTTTACATATGGTGGGCTGAGTGGTTCTAATACCGGCAACTGGAGCGGGACCGGGAACAAATGCTACACCTCCTTCATTCTTCCAGCCACTTCGTCCGCTTCCTACTTGGCAGTTTCTCAGCTTAGTGGTTTAAAAAGCCCACATCTGTGCATCTGATCTATCTTTGCCTGTCCCCATCGTCACCAGAGGGAACCCCAACAGGGTCGATGGGCAGTGAAATGACCCCGCATGATCCAGTTTCTCTGGATCAGCTCTTTGTTTTTCTTGTGGCCACAGGTTCTTGATTGCAGC